GAATCATATATTATGGTAAGTGAATTTACGAAAAGCCGCAAATTCAAAGGTGCTCCTATTTCAAAGGAATTATTTAAGATTGAAGGCTGATAAATTAGAATAACTTGCCAAATAATACAGAAGTCAAATATAGATAAATAAGGATACTAATGACAAAGCTGTGGGCTTGCTTTACTAAGAAATATGTAGCATATAATGGCATATAATTTAAAGTGTAACCTTAAAGATTGAGCCGAAAAATTTGGGGGCTCTTCATTGTTAGACGAACATGAAAAATTAAACCCATCAAATAGCTCACAAGGGTATCAGAGTAGTTTTAGATTTATTGGTGTAAGATATGGCTATTAATTTATTGATAGTAACTCTTGAGCAATCAACATTTTCCAATAACGCCGAGCCCCAATAATCACCATATTAAAGCGTTTGTATTTTTATGACCAAATAAAATTAATTTAATTGGCATTGTAGCTTGATGCCGCAATTATGCAGGAAATCAATCATAATTTATTAACAATATCTTCAAAATTGCTTCAACTTACGCGCCTAATCCCGCTCTCTTCGCTTTACTTATCCTATTATGTCTGCAAACCTTGCTCCATCGTCTTTTTTTTGTCCTGACTATCAAAATGATCTTTTGGATGCTTATTCTGTTTTTTTATATTCAAATGATTTTGCTTCGTGCTTTGATCACGTTTCTCACATGTGCGAAGAATTTCTTGATGATACACTCTCCCAAACTGTTCTTAGGTGTATGTCATATGGGGATTCTCGGTTTTCCAACTGTCTTAGAACGTTTTTTGAAAGTTTGGGCAAGGCCATCCAGGTTGTGGCAGAGGCTCACAATGTGATCTTTCATCAATTACCAATAAATGATGCTTTAAGGTCCGATATTTCTTCGATCACCTTAGCGATTCTCTTCCCTCTTAACATCTATGGAAATCTTAGACCTGTGATAAATGCCTTAATGTATCTATTTCTAGAATCTTCAGAACGAACCTCTTCTTCTCTTTTAAGCATAAAAACATACGAGTTGCCTGATGCTCAATGCAGGGCTGCCTTACTGAACCAATACGAAGGTTTGCTTGGAAATAAAAGCGGCTTATTGAATATTTCACATTTGTTTGATGACCGTTGGCTATCTTTTGCAAAGTATATCCTATGTGCTAGGCTTGAAAAGTTTTGCTCGGGTCGTCCGACTGATGGCCTTCTTCACCATGCCCTTGATTATAAAAACAGAGTTTTACTACTGCTCTGGCTGCCAAATCTTTTCCATAATCAGGCTACCCTCAAGGCTAATAAAGATCTTCTTAAAGATGACATGGTTTACGACGCCTTTTATAAGGTACGAAGGCGTGATTTGTTCTCCGTCATTATTAAGTATCCCAAATCAATACCCGCTTTGAATGATATAAGCGTGTGCCTTAAGTACTTAAACCTACGAAACGACATTATATCGTGCTTGAACAATGAGGTTAGTGGTTAATTCTGCCTCTTTATAGTTGCCTCCAAATGCCTTAAATATTATTCTAAAGTAGATCAGGAAACGACTTCTCCACCCCGGTGTACACACCGAACAACTGTTGTTGGCATATGCGTGTCTTGTTCGAGCGCTGCGCTTGGTCGATCCCACCTTTGTCATTCAGGTGACTCATACCTAAATGCTATTCCTCTTGGTCTATACGTTAGTTATTATATGCTAATACATTTTAGGAGGTGGTATGTAGACCTCTGGTTACATGTCTTCGAAAGAGAGAAGATGCTGTTCGGTGCATTGTTGATGAGCTAATTAATAATCCTAGCACTCGGAAAAACTCAGAAGTTGCTTTTTTGAGTTGCGATCGAGGTGGAGTCGAGCTACACCGAGAGCTAATGCTTCCTATTCCTTTGGAGATTGAGCCTTTACGAGATGACAATGATGAAAGCGACACAGATATGATAGCTGAAGGTAAGTGCCGTAGTTGCTATACGTTAATAATTAGTATTATACTCTTAATAACAAATTATATTTTTAGATCCTAATTCCGATGAATTTAGAAGACTAACAAGTGACTTCGAAGCCCGTTTTCATTCAAAAGTCACCTCAGACAACTTGCACTCAAAACATGAAATAAGTCTCCCCAAATACAAGGCTAGTTGCTGTTCTGATTCATCTGAGTCGATTTTCCCAAGTACTTTCAAACAATCGAACTGCTATCATTTACTTCAACAAAGTGGCTCTCAATTATGGGCCTCATGGCAGCCTGACCCAATAGAGGCTCGCCTGCAAACGGGTTTGAGACGAAATCAACTTGATCTCCTTAGCATGCTCGTGAGCATATACGGTAGCAGACGTGCTTTTTTGGTAGAATATAAGCAGCTTCTTGGACAGAGATTGCTACAACGTCAAGCACGGGCCTCTCGGGTTCTTACTGATGCATGCACTCCTAAATGGGATACAATGGATATTAGTGTATTCGACACATCTGCTGAAGGCACAAATCTTGAGCTTCTTAAGCTTAGGTTTGGTGAATCCAACCTTCATGAGTGTGAGGTATGTGAAGCAGTTAATTGATTATGACGATTGCAGTGTTTTCGTCTCAGTCTGAAGATTAAAAATGTATAGGTGCTTATTTGCAGGACTTAACTTAAAATTTTACTTTCAGATATATTTACTATATTTCAATGCATCCTATATACATTGGCAGTTTAGTATTCGAGTACCCATGGAGGCATTTTGTTGTTAAGGCGAGTGAAATTCATCTTTTCATCGCAATCCTTTAGTTGCCTGTGTTGATTTTTAGGCTGCTAGACTGTTTGTAAATTTCGTTTTCTTTCGGTATTATTATTTATATTAAGTAAGCCTCAAAATCCCATAATCTGGTCCTGTTTAGTCATTGTCTGAGAGGAAGGCTTTTGGTGCAATTTATTTCTGCTGTCAGCCGGCAGCAAATACCTGCTTTAAACACATAATTTTTCGATATCTAGATATTTAAAGCTACACGCAATCGCATTTTTCATATTTTCTCACTTATTAATGGCTTTACTAGGATCCGTCTGATGAGCTGCAATGCATTATACCCATATACATAACGAAGCCTTTCTAGTTGACCTAAACGTGTATGCTAGTAGTCACCGTTAGGGGCATTGGACAAGTGGGTACACAGAGTTCATTAATTTTAGACTAACTCGATTTACTTATTGTATGTCTCGGGGCCGGAAAAGGACGTTGAGCGTTACAACATTAACTCATGGACAGTAAATGTCGTCGGCTAGTTGTCCACTTTTTTCAATTTATCTTGTTTGGCGTCATTAGGGCTATATTTTGTATGCTTTATATTCGATTTATAACCTCGGAGGCTAACAGCACTAATAGAAAAGGACTCTTGGATTAGTATATTTTTGCTCTATTCAGTGAAGTATATATTTCTGGTCTGATGAGGTCTGTCGTAGTACAGACAAAAGCTTAGCTCAGTTTGGCTGGGGTCGCAGGATGGTGAGCTGGAGACTTCTTTTCGCAATACAACAATCTCCTTTCGGTTTTCGGTGAGACCACATCACGAATGCCCCCCGGCCAACTTTTCTTTCGAAATAGAAAGTCATCCTACAATATATATCTAAGGAATTCTTCGAAACCCAGTTTTTCTTAATTGGAAATATTTACTTATATCCTTACCTATTCAACCTGTTCATATAAACCGTTCGGATCAGGTCATGCTAATAATCAACCAGGTACAATTATTGAGGGTCACAATATGGCCGAGGTCAAACACCAACCCTATTGGTCTTAGCGCTCATATTAAGATTACTAGAAACTAGTGGAGGGAATATATCCTGTGTATAATCGCA